CACACACACACACACACACACACACACACACACACACACACACATACACACACAAACCTATGGTAATATCTTCAAAACGACTTGCCTTGTGTCTGGAAGGCGGAAAATTCTCACACAAACAGGCAACAGGCAAATTCCTCTCCCCTGGAACGTTCTACCTAATATAACAACACCCAAACACTTCGACATACTGCGGGGAGCAGATACCATTTACCCAACATGGGGGGGGGGTAGAATTGAAACCACAGATTGAAGAAAACCTACAGGAAGTGACGTCATTATCAACACTCAAATCATCACACTATATGAATCCCTCACAATACAGGAATTCTTTCATAATATCAACATATCAACACTCTATAAGAATCGCACACAGCTCAAGCGAAGTTCTGCCAGCTAAACACGAACACTTGCAGTGAATAGGTGTAACTTCATAAAAATGGAGCAAGTTCACGACTTGAGCAGTTTAACACACAAAATCACGTGACCTCAGGGCGAGCAGCCATTGGTGGGCAAAACTGTTCAAAGTGCAGTCTGGTGTGTGCTTCCGTCGTGCTGACCTGTTTGCAGGCCAAGACATCAGAGTGAATCAGGCTCGCAGACTCCTGATGCATCGCACTTAGGGAATCCAAAATACGAGACGATAGAGAAAGCTTGTCTGCTGAAATCGGATCCGAAAACCCTGGGTCGTCTCTGCATTGTGTGTTTGTCTCTGCGACATCAAAACACACAATAATATGCTGTATAAGGAAACAGGGGTCACAATGGCGACCACTATGATGGAAGTCACACGCCCCTTATTGTGTAGGCTACAGGAAGTCTTCCTAGGCGGAGTCGTGAATGACGTAAGCCGATTACGTGCACATATATACGGTGACGTTCTGAAAAAAAATCCCCTGACGTGTCAGTTCCCAGACATCCAAGGTTGCCAGATGCCAGATGCCATCAACAGAAAATATAATTTAACATTTCACAGCCAAAAGATAGTTTTGAGTTTTCAGAAAACATATTTATAACGTCATGTAACTCTTAAATGACGACAGTGGAAGAAAGCGAAAAACAAACCAACTCGTTTTCGGAAGAAAAAAAAACCCGCCAAAATTCCTTGGAATTCGGTTGCTAGAGGCCAAAATAACAACCCTCAAAACAAATCAATCCCAATCGTTCACACAGTGAAGCGGGAGACTGAAAGTCCAGCACACGACCTTCACACCAGGCGTAACCTGCCCGGCACGAGGGCGTAGCACATGAGGAGTAAGGTCAAGGCCAGCGGTGGCCGCCACAAGGTCACGTGTCGCCCAGTGGCCATGTTGCACATGTTTTTACCGCACATACACAGGTAGCCGTTCCCGTTGCGCTCGGTGCGACAAACGCCGTCGATCATGGTCAGGTGGAAGTTGAGGTCCGCCGTGCAAGTGCGGATCATCTGGAGTTTGCCTGGGAACAGTGAAGAAGGGGGGGGGGTGGATTTAAAATTAGATACTGCATGAATGAGGCCAAGGTGGTACTAGCAAGAGGAAGGACAAAGTGAGTAAGTGATGAATGACAATGAATGAGGTTTGACCTTGGCTTTCTTAGATCTAAGAAAGTCTTGGGCTAGATCAGTGCTTCCCAACCCTTTTTTTAGCCAGCGCCCACCGGCCACCAGAATCAGCATAATTAAGCTCACGTGTGGACGATATCGTTCGGGTTGTCAAGCACTGCGTTAGGCTAAATCAGAGAGAGAGAGAGACAGAGAGACAGACAGAGATAGAGAGACAGAGAGAGACAGACAGACAGACAGACAGACAGACAGACAGACAGACAGACAGACAGACAGA